CTTTTTTGTGAAATATTTCGGAAGTGGGAGAATGCGCCCTGTATTGTGTTGGGCAAAAACATGATTGCAACTGACCTAAAACAGGAATATCCTACAACGACAGTCCTTCATATTTCAAATGAATCACGCAACCACGCTCACTCCAACTTCGGGATATAAAGGATAAGTAGCGAGCAAACCTAACAATACTAACAAAGACAATATCACCAACAGTAAGGCTTACCTGAACCTATGTAGTGATATTTTTGCTCAATGTGAACCTTCACAACAAGGAAGATGGTCCTGAAAGCAGAAAGTCAAAAACATATACAGATCGAAGGCTCAATTTCTTCGTGATATTCCTATGATTAGAGATACATTACGGTAGTTACATGTTTAACAGACTTTCCCAAAATAGAAAAACATCTTTCCCCGAAAGGAAGGTTCATGGAGAACGGGGTGGATCTACTTAGAGCTGAATTGGGAGAGCCTAGCTGAGTCGCTCCCCAAAGCCATGACAGTCATGCTTAGTCCGAGAGTGGGGCACATTATACTTCCAAAAAGGACCCATCTGGGAGGGAGGCGTACTTTGTCGCTCAAGGGTTGGTCGCATCAACCGTTGACGAAAATTTTCTGAGCGGCGAGAAAATCTTTCCTGGTTGTTGATTTATCAGGTTTTGAATAGTAACCCCTCTTCCCCTTTCTTCAATGGCGCGAACGATGAATATGGCCTTACTCCCCTCCCTCCTTTCACGAACCTGTCACTCCATAAAATCCACATCACAGTTTTTCATAGTTCGCCAAAATTTGCCGCTTAAAAATTGAAAACCAGAAACTTATAAAATTTCTCATATATAGCAACGTACCTTGCGTTCTTTTCCACGTTTGGTGGAACAGCATAGTAGACAACGAGCGAGCTTCATCGATGAGCGCTAACTTCCGACAAAGGCACAACAACGCTATGTGAGCAGTCCTTGAAGTTGAAACATAAAATTACCAGGCACTATCTTTTTTTTGTCCTGTCCAGCCTTCTATTGTCGCCAGAAATTGGTCTGCGAAGGTTAGTATTAGATCCCTTGGAACAACGAATTATCACATCAGTACGAGGTGGTCCAATAATGGGATAGCAACGGCAACAAGGACCTGCTTTCCGGATCGTCTGCACACCTCTGATCCCCACAGATCGCCCTGCAGACGAAGAGTCCCTTTGGACTGCTGAGCCTCCTCATACTTCCGGCGGCTTCGCGCATCAAAAATTAAGATTAATCGTGTTAGGAAATCAAACAGGCCTACTGGAGCACAGTTTTACAGAGAGTTTTGATTTCCGCCCAAGCAGATGTCATATAGTTGGGGTGTCATGTCGAAAGACGGAATTTTCGGAGGGGGGGGGGCAGCAAAGGCGCTGAAGTACAGTGACCAGGACTTTCAAGATTTAAAAGCGAAAAATTATGACGATACCTTCTGGATAACTTTGTCCCTGATTGCACCGAAATCATACAATATCTGCGTGGTGCGTTACCTATCATTAACGTGCCAAAATAACAAGTTGTAACTTACTGGGCAACGCATTTGGTAGAGCTCCCTATTCTGCTAGCTGAACTATACACATGGTTCTCTTTACCAATATCCACTGAAAGAGGGCCCAAGAGCTGAAAATTTCTGCGAAGAAAAGAGAAATTAAGTTGGAACTACTGAAGAGTGGGTTAAAAGTACATTACGAGTGGTAGAAGGTACATACGAAAAAAAAACTAAAAGAGGAGTTGAATGTGTGCAGTATGTCGCTTGCTGAAAGAAAGAAAAGGAACAGGCCAGCACTGCCTCAACCCGTCCTTCCTAACATGTCCCATCATCCGCAGTAACAAGACTGTATGTTGAATGGGGGCATGGCGGCTTGCAGCACCTATTGTGCCAACCTCCTGACTGTTACTCTCAACGTGTTAATAAGTTATATTGAATCCTGCATGCGACATATAACACTCACCGGGGCAGAGAGGATTGACGTAGTTGAAAAACTCAAACGTGGTGATCTGCTTGACCCCCTGAGCAATCTGAAACAGACATTTTGCTGAAAAAAGCATGGAAAAATGGACCAGAATGTGACCCTAATAACTTTTAAACTGCACTCACACTTTCTTCAATTCGTCTCAATTGCGTTATCTTTTCGATAAGAGCTTTTCTATCTTGTACACGTGAAGACCGCGATTTCGAGCAACGAGCGACCGAATTGGACAGGATCGGATGGTATTCAGCGCGTGCGACGTAATGATCCCACAGCTCTAGAAAAACCGTCATATAGCAAAAATCGTGGAAAGTCACAATAAACACACCAAAATCCAATTCATCTTATACATCTAATCATGAGATCACAACTGCGTCACGAAGGTGCGGGCGCCTATCTGTTGTGGCTAAATCCCTAGCGCGCGTCATCTTAAAAGTAGTGCAAATAGTATAGACAGTGGCCTGGGGGGGGGTAATAGTAGATGATAGTTGGTGATACTACTTAATAACGCCTGATAAGGACTGTTTTCATGCAAATATCACCATATCTATTCTTTCTTCAGGTCGACAACAGCACACTAGTACTTGGGCTTCGTTCATACTTTGCGCGCTTCAAGCATACGCTAGCGTTCTGAGCGACTGCAGCCAAGAAGTTCAAACGACTCACGAAACATACAGAAACTTGGATCGATATCTTCACTTTCCTGGTGACTCAAAAAGCTGCCGTACGCTGCAGTACGCTGGCTTACGCTCAAATGCTAGGTCGATACCCATTCTTTCCCTCTTCTTCTTCGAAACGCCCAAGCCGCAGCCATACGCTTGAATCGCTGACGCAAAGTATGAAAACGCAGCCTTAACTGGATCGCTACCTGTGGCAAATAGCGACATATATAATGAGGGATAGAAAGTGATAACGACTGATAATGGTCCGTAAAATCACAGAAACGAACAAGTATGGACATTAACCTCTGACATCAACCAATTCGGCCGGTGGTATGTTCTTGATTGGTTTAATATCGTAATTGAGCATTGACGCATTGACACTTGTAGCTGCAGGAAAAACGATCATACCATCAAAAGTCACCATTGTTGGGAAAATAAAGCCTAATACCTATGCTGGATGAGCATTCTGACACATCTGCAGAACAGCTAAGGTTGCCAGTGGTATAACTCCCATTGAGAGAATATGACAGAGCTAAAATACTAGCAACATGCAGAAGAACAAAAAAAAAAACCAAAAGGAAGCTGAAAGTTATCATTTACTCTAAGTATAATTTTTATGCACCACTAGTATGCATAAAAATTATGCTCAGAAAAA